TCTGGTAGCGGAGCCACTTCAGGTTCAGCTCCACGACCTCTCACATCTTGTAGCTGCATCATCTCATTCATGTTGATCAAGGCCAAAGTGGTTGGCTTTCGTTTTGGGTGTCCAAAAGGCCCTTGATCAAAGGAGATCAGCTTGGCGTTGTAGGCTTCTTGGAAGCTTTTCCATTCCTGAGTTCTCCACATTGAAAAGTACTGGTGCTCATCCACATCCTCCTTCTTGCGGTATTCCGCTGGGTCTTGAGGCTGTTCACAAAGAAATGCAGTTTGAGCTTGTTCTTTTGGACGCACTTCTTCGCAGAGGATGTACATCAGCATCAACCGGAGCCACAGAATTGAGTCATTGGTGACCAATTCAGCTTGTTGTGGAGTCAATGATGGCAAACCGTATGGGTGATCTTCTGTTCGAAGAATTGGTGGACCATCATCTTTTTGAAACCTGAGAGCACTTGTTGTTCTGCATGGAGGACCACCAAGTAGAGCTTTGACACGTTTGCTGGCGCACAAGGAAAGCAAAAACGCAAAGGTTGTTTCATCCAAAGCATTTGAAGGTGTTGAGGCTTCCAAGTCCACGCACAGCACCTCAGTGTGCTCATTTGACAAACGCCGCTCCCAGTAAGAAGCATCAGGTCCACTGTACATGTGGATGATCACATTCTTTGCCATCATGAGTCTTTTTCGCTTTCTGCGATTCCATGGAAGGTTCAAGCCGATGTTTGGGTCCGTGAGCACTGAGAGATCTGGGACCAGCTTCAACGCCAAATCTTCAGGCAAAGTCGGCATGACCTCCTTGAGCTTGACAAGCATCGCCATTTCAATGCTCATGTTGTTGCCAAGACCGGCAGCCCCTCTTGTCAAGATTGACTTCAAGGTCATCTTTTTCAGCTCTTGTTGAATTTGATGCTGTTCCAACACCGTCAGCAGCTTCGCTCCAAATTCATGAGCAACGTAGGGACATCCATTGTGAAGTTCCACATCGACCTTGTCTCCAGCTTTTGTGTAGAGATGGCACATGTGGTCTTTCCACACCAACTTGTAGTTGAGCTCGTTCAAGCATCCCATTGGAACGATCCAAGAGGTATTTTCAGGCCGAAGGAGAGGATCGGAAAGCAAAACTTTGGTGCCAGGCTTCAAACGGAGGCTTTCAGTGACACCATCAGCCAACATCACCTGAGTTCTTGTGCCCGACTGCCATTCTTCTTCTGAAGCTGCAGGACGTAGGCCATGTGTTGCACCAGAGTCCAGCAACACCATTTGAGCATGAGGCTGCAGGTTTGACAGTCGCATCACCTTCAGGTTGGGCATACGCAAAGACTTCAGCAACTGAGTGGCTTCTGCCAACAGTTCAGTGGTCGCAGGAGTGGCAGCTGGAGCTCCCCCCTTATCCACCTCCGAGGTTGCACTAGATGAAGTCCCAAGGGAGTTACTCTCAGCACCCAGTCCTGGACCATCAGCGCTTGTACTGGAGGAAGTTTGATCAGTTGTTGAGCTTGCAACTCCACCATCATGACCTTTTCCAACTGAAGCTTGCTTGACAGCCGCTTTGTTGTTTGCTGCAGCTGCATTTTGATTTCCACGTCCTCCCCCCAAACCAGAGTCATTGGACGAAGGTTTGTTTCCAGAACCCTTGACACGGCATTCTGTCCTTCTGTGCTCCTTGGAGCCGCATATCCAGCATCTACTGCCTTTGTCCTCTATGTTGTCCCAACTGTGAGACCACTTGCAGTTTTTGCCAGCCTTGCATCCACCATCACTCTTGAAAAACTTGCATGGTTGCTCCGCCATAGGGGTTGACACTCCTTTTCCAGACTTGCCATAGTTGCCAGGAGTGCCTGGCTTTTGAGGTGAGTTGGATGCTTCGGCATCCATTTGCTTGAGTCTCACCGGTGTGCTCGCACTTGTAGACGTCGTAGAAGAGGACTTCAGCAAGCTCAAAGTTTCTGCCTCAGCCAACAAACACTGACTGAAGCTCCAAATTGACTGCTCCGTAGGACGTTGATCCAGTGCAAGTTGTTGTCGGCTTGTGGAAAGCCTGAACGCTGCTTGGGCATCTTCCTTGGCGATCTGGACAACCGCAGCTTCAAGTGCTTTTATCAGCAGCACTCCATCAGGCAAGTTTGCATCCACCTCCCTAGCCCTTGCAAAGTATCGCCGCCATGTTCTCAGAGACGAAGCCAATTCCTGCATCGTAGATGCCTTTTGCAGTGAGGTCAATTGCCCCAAGAGGATTGCCTTTTCACCTGGTCCTCCTGGTTGATGCCGCACATAGAGGCGGAACAAAATTGCCGTACTGGTCAAATCTCGATCCACCACCAGCTCCTTTTGCTGCTCTTCGCTCACTGCCTTGAGCAACAAAGTGACGCCCCGCTGCTCCGTTCTGATGAAGCAGCTTGCCATTAGCTCATCAGGAAGACGAGGGCAAAGTTGAACTCGTTGTAGAGGAGATAGCCCTTTCCATTCCACATAGAACGCATGAGCTTGGCGCACAGTAGCGTCCCACCATCTTCCAGCAACCTGAGAGAGGTCCTTCATAACAGGGCCGCAAAGACAAAGCCAATCTCCAAATTCCAGTGGTGAGGCCCCATTTGGAAGTGATGGCAATTCCACCTTTCCACCGCCACCTCCACCAGAAGACTCCCACGATGCCGGCATTGGTGCGACACCCAAAGATTCATGCCCATGAAGACGTCCATCACGATGAAGACCATGTAATCCCTTCCTCCTAATACTAAAACCCCCCCCAATACAAAACACGGCAGGTAGTTTTTAGTATTAGGGGGGTATTTATTATTAGGGAACCAAATCGAAGTCATGTTAATTAATTAATTAAATTTCCTTATATAACGCAATTTAAATATTGCCAAAAATGGCAGTTCGAAGCTTACCCCTGATACTAAATTAAAACCCTTAATACTAAAAACTATTTTTTCCGATCCTAAAATCAATTAAATTTCCTTATATAACGCAATTAAAATATTGCCAAAAATGGCAGTTCGAAGCTTACCCCTAATACTAAATTAAAACCCTTAATACTAAAAACTATTTTTTCCGATCTCAAAATCAATTAAATTTCCTTATATAACGCAATTAAAATATTGCCAAAAATGGCAGTTCGAAGCTTACCCCTAATACTAAATTAAAACCCTTAATACTAAAAACTAGCCCCCCTAATACTAAACACCCCGGGATGAATTAGTTTTTAGTATTAGGGGGGAGAACCCACAAATGGTAGGTTGATTTTTGAATTGTTTTTTAAAGGGGATCAATTAAAAGTCAAATTGGCCAAACTGAAATTTTCGGAAATTGGAGATGGATGCCTGTTTTTAGTATTAGGGGGACGTTTAGTATTAGGAGGAAGGGATTAGTTCTGCCGCGCCACCATGAAGACGTTCGTCACGAGGAAGACCATGAAGTTCTGCAGCGCCACCATGAAGAGCCCGATCATGTCCAGGTAGATCTCCAAGCACAGTGCCATGCAAGGCCCGACCTTGTAGAGCAACATCACCATGCACAGCGCCCCGCAGAGCCCGAGCTTGTTGAGCAGCATCACCATGCGTTTGCAAAGCCCGATCACTGCCTTGAAGTCCACCATGCACCTGCTGAGCCCGAGCTTGTTGTGCAGCTTCACCACTTCCAGCATGCAAGTGACGTACATCTTTTCCATGCGCATTGCAACCCGTTGGATTCCAGTACCCAGATTCAGTCAGAGTTGTTGGAACAGCTACCCTATCCAGTGCAACTTTCAAAGACCGAACCTCACGTTCCAACCATGCTTGTTTTGCTTCCTGAGAAAGAATTGCATCATCCCCTTTTTCATCATGAGGTTTCCATTGACCATCCCCATTTTTCACATGCAGTTTTGACTCACATGTGTCATACAAGTTGCTGACAAAACTTGTTCCCTCCACCAGCGGCTCACCTGCAACTGTTGGAAACGGAGGGACTGGTGGCAACATCGGCTCATTCACTGGCGGTGGACCTTTAGGCACTCTGGTCCCATTTGGTGTGAACCGAACCACCTCACCTTTTTCACAGGACTAACTGCACGTTCACGTGTTCTGTGCCTAGGAGTTCTACTTCCACCCCTACCATGACGCTCAGCATGAAAGGTTCCATTGCCACTTGAACCCTCTACTGAAGTTCCATTCACAGCAGACCATGGTGACGAAGCATCCCCAGAACCGGCTTTCACTTGCACATGCTGCAGTTGCCCTTTGAGACATTCTAACTCTTGCATGAGTTTAGAATTTTGACATCTCAAAAACTCCACAAGCTCGCCTTCTAGGGCTCGCTGTAAGCCATCACTGCTTTCGTCCATACCACTACTTCCAGCAGATTTGACTCGGCCTTGTGACCACACAGGATCTTTGACTTGGCCTTGTGACCACACAGGATCATCACACCCCTGCATCCGTCCTTCAGTCCTCAGGGCATTCTGCTCATTCACTGTGGGGCCAGCTGCATCCGGCACTTCATTCGCCGAAAAGCCACCTCGCCCTTTCCCAGTTGGCAGTGCACTTGCATCAGACTGATCCCTTTTTTCAGAAACCGCTACACCTTGAGGTCCCATTCCACCATCCAACACTGGTAAGCTCCTAGGCCTTGAGGCCTCCAGCAAACATTCAGCTTGAACTTTTTCGGAATGAAATGGGTTAACCACCCACCTCCATGTTTCTATCCCCAACAGGCATTGATTGGGACCTTCCAGCTTCCATGGCTAAAATGCCCAGTAGTAGCTCGTTGGGCTCATAACCCTTGAGAACGTCGCGCCTGTTTTCCAAGCAAAAAATGCCTGCGGTAATACAGGTGAACTTCTGTGCTATGATTTGTGCGTGTCATCCTTCGCACCTGACATGACAGAACTGTATTTGTCCATTTTGCGGTGCACGCAAAAATATCCAAAACAGCATTTATCACAAGAATCACATGTCATTTGTTTGGACTGTTTGGATCTGTTTGGTAGTTGCTTCGCGCCATTTCCCGCCATGATGCAAGGTGATCAGTTTGGGGGTTTTGCTGAGCTTCAATCTCAGTGGCCCGGCTGGTGCGGCTTCGCAAAACGGATGGCCCGTGAGATGGTCTGGGAGCTGCGACGGTGCTCTAAGGTCTCTAAGGGAATTCAGCGTGTTTCTCATCTATGACTGGCCAGAATACATAAGCGTTAAAAATCGTTAAAACCCACCCGTTGCTTGGATAGATTTGGATAGAGTTCTCCAAGAATGAACAATGAGGTGCAGCTAGCCACAGCTGTACCATTGTAAGATATTAATTTTAAGTTTTAAGATGTTTTAAGGTACATGTTTAAGGCAAATTTTAAGGTATTTGAAGAGTTTGGACTTGAGAACCGTTTGTCTGAAACCACTTGGGCGGAAGGGTGTGCGCTTCGTCCATATGGATCGCATGAATTTCACATGGTGCCTGGTCAGATTGTGTGATATGGGTACTGAATGGTCAATATTGGTATTGACGGTATTGACGGTATTGATATTGTATGAACATCCGAGCAATGCTGTGCAATGCCGTGCAATGCCCTCAGGCAACGCTTCTTTGATCAACATCCGCCTCTCAGCTGGTGTCTGATAGACGTATGCTGATAACTGGGTGTCATTAGTTGTTCAGACTTCTGATTTTAAACAATCTTAAATGTTTCTTCATGTTTCTTGCCCTGCCGGGCCGCCAGGCCTAACAAAACTTGAGGGTTTATCCTGTCCTCATGTTGCATGCGACCTCAACAGAGTGAAGTGCAAATCAAGAGAGACGGGCAGAAGATTGGCAGATGGTGTAAGAATGTAAGATGTAAGATAATTTGATATAATTTGTAAGCTTCTGACTCGGTGATTATCACTGCTTTGGTATGCACGTGGGACTCAGATGAACAGTGCGTCATGGTCTGAGGCTATGGCAACGTTGGGGTAGTTTCTCAGCCAAGGACGGTGGGAACAAGCCCCCAAAACGCTACACTTTTGATCTCACATGTGTTGAGCAATGTTTGGGCCCCTCTCTAGTTCAGGTTTGGGATCATCATATTACGTCATTCATATATCATCATGCATCATCATTTGTTTTGACGTGTTTTGACTGCCCTGGTGCAGGGTTGCCAAGCTGGTGTTTGTCATTTTCGTGTCCGCCATGGTAGCTGGCTACATCAACTGGAAGGTTCGTCTTTGTTGCTGCACTGGTTCGGTGGAATTGACTCCAGATGGGAAATGACAACTAGCCTGTCACCAATTCTCGAAGCCTGGAAGAGCTTGCAATTTAGATCAATATCTTTGCATATATTTCGTTGTACCCACATCCGCGAAATGCGAAATGTACATTGCCCCAAAACTGTAAATTAATTTACTGTAAACATATTGTAAACTTTGCAAACATGTATTTAAAGGCTTACGCCTGACAGCCGGGCGCCGGCCAAGCAATCTTGGCACCATGTTGGGCCTATGTTGGCCTATGTTGGGCCTATGTTGGCCCATGTTGAGCCATCTTGGGAGCTATGTTGGGGCCATGTTTGGGCCATCTATGATGAAACGATCTTAACATGCCAATTTTTCCGCCCCGGGCCCCCTCCTGGAGCCCAAAACCACGTAAAAACCGATGTTTTGTAACATCGCCAAGATGAAATCCCTTGCCGCCGAAGGGCCCGAAACACCGTAAAAAAAACGATGTTTTTTTTTAAACATCGCAAGCAAAATACACCGTAAATTACAGGGACGTCAGTTGACACGGAGTCGGTCCTTCGGTTACCAACCGAAGGCCTCCGGCAAGGACACGGGCTGGCCCTCGGCCGGCGCCCGGAAAGGCTTACGCCTGACAGCCGCACGCCGGCCAAGCAATCTTGGCCCGGGCCCCCTCCTGGAGCCCAACAAAAAACCGATGTTTTGTAACATCGCCAAGATGAAATCCCTTGCCGCCGAAGGGTCTGAAACACCGTAAAAACGATGTTTTTTAACATCGCAAGCAAAATACACTGTAAATTACAGGGGCTTCAGTTGACACGGAGTCCCCCCGGGTGAACCGGGTGGGGTCGGCGGCAGGGCCGGCAGCGCCTATAACCTTCGGTTACCACCGAAGGCCTCCGGCAAAGACACGGGCTGGCCGTCGGCCGGCGCCCGGATTTAAAGGCTTACACCTGACAGCCGGGCGCCGGCCAAGCAACCGGCCAAGCAATCTTGGCACCATGTTGGCCCTATGTTGGGCCTATGTTGGCCTATGTTGGGCCTATGTTGGCCCATGTTGAGCCATCGTGGGAGCTATGGTTGGGCCATGTTTGGGCCATCGTGCTTGAAACGATCTGAAGATGCAAATTTTTCACCCCGGGCCCCCTCCTCCCAAAACTACGACGTAAAGACTGAAATTTTGTAACATCGCCAAGATGGAATCTCTTGCTGCTGAAGGGCCCAAAACACCGTAAAAAAACGATGTTTTTGAACATCGCGCTCACAAAACACCGTAAATTGCAGGGACTCCTCGGCACGGAGTCCCCCCGGCATGGGTTTACGGCAGCGCCTATAACTTTCGGTTACCACCGAAGGCCTCCGGCAAGAACACGGGCTGGCCCTCGGCCGGCGCCGGATTTAAAGGCTTACGCCTGACAGCCGGGCGCCGGTCAAGCAATCTTTGCACCATGTTGGCCCTATGTTGGGCCTATGTTGGCCTATGTTGGGCCTATGTTGGCCCATGTTGAGCCATCTTGGGAGCTATGTTGGGGCCATGTTCGGGCCATCTATGTTGAAACGATCTTAAGATGAAGATGTTTCGGCCCCGGGCCCCCCACTTGGAGCCCAGAACCACGTAAAAACCGATGTTTTGTAACATCGCCAAGATGAAATCCCTTGCCGCCGAAGGGCCCGAAACACCCTAAAAAAAACGATGTTTTTTAACATTGCAAGCAAAATACACTGTAAATTACAGGGGCTTCAGTTGACACGGAGTCCCCCCGGGTGAACCGGGTGGGGGTCGGCGGCAGGGCCGGCAGCGCCTATAACCTTCGGTTGTAACCAACCGAAGGCCTCTGGCAAGGACACTTACGCCTGACAGTCGGGCGCCGGCGAAGCAACGACTTCTGGCTTATGGTGTGGGAAGACTGGGCCGAGATGGGAGGGCTATGTTGAACTGAGGCAGGCATAATGCACAGTGCTTGCCTGTAAGGGCCTATGTTGAGCGCAGGTTGTGCCCATGTTGGGCCAAGTCGGGCCCATGTTGAGCCATCTTGGGCCCATATCTTGGGCTTATGTTGGGCCAAGTCGGGCCCATGTTGAGCCACATCGGGCCCATTTTGGGGCTATATTGGCCCAGGTTGGGCCTATGTCGGGCTATGTTGGGCTCATCTTGGGCCATGTTGGGCCTATGTTGGGCCCATGTTGGCCTATGTTGGGCCTATGTACTTACCATAGGCACGGCCATACGGGGATCGCGCGAAAGGTTGCGGACGGTTGCGGACGGTTAGGCAACGTCGAGCGAAGATATCCAGCCTCCTGGACTCTTTGGGATTCTCCGGGATACCTCGACTTCCCCCTCCCGAGGGCATTCTTTCCTTGGCGTTGCACGGGAAGATGCCCTACCTGGCTAGCTTCATCTTGGGAGCAGCCTTCACCCTCCTGACGGTGCGGAGACCAAAACTCAGACTTTGCACTTCAGTACGCTAGAGGAAAGACTTGGAAAGAAATGGAAAGTAATTATCACGGATGAAAGAATGAAGAAGAGCAATCAGAGACTTCCTCGAATTTTTGGTCGGCTAAAATTTGCTGGCCTTGATGTCGAAAAACTCGACTCAGTTTGTTCATCGAATTTTCTGTGAACATCTGTGGGCACTCAAGAATGGGGCCAAGAATCCCAGGTCTCCTTGAACCGCTCTAAGTGATTTTTTTTGTTCCAACATGCTTTGGGAGAAACTTTGTTGCTTAAAAATCGGAAATCTCCTGCCAACATGACTCAAACCTGAGCTTGTGGATGTTTGCAGCAGGTGTACTTGACCATTCATTTGGCCTGCAGATACAGCCAAATACACGAAGAAAACCAGGCATCCCGCTGTGGTGGGTCGGGCAGAGCTGATTTGCTACGGTGCCTGGTGCTGATATTGTTTGTGCTGATGCCAGAAGAATTGTTTTTGCGTTTTCATCGTCGGTCATCGTCGATAATCCTCATCCCTATCGGCAGACTAGATATTTCAGCGTTGGGAAGGGGAGCTGTGCGACCATGATCATCCATGATCTACGACTCCATGAATTTAAACTGTTATCTCTTGAAACATATTAAGCTGACTGAAGAGAGTTGGAATGTGAGATCACCCAAGCCAAACAATTCGAAGCCACGCCTTTGCGCCTCTTAAATAATTACAGTATAAAGAATTGCCAAGCAAACAAAAACAAACGGGGATGAACGGGGAATTGTCGTCGGTCTGAGCTGAAATATCATGGGACTCTGATTATCCCAAAAATCTAAGTTAAGTTGTGTCGTTTCTAAAATGGCCGCAATGGTTGCAGAAACACCTTCATTTGCATCGCTGATGCGTAGTGTCAGACTGTCACGGCACACTGACTTCGGTTTCCTCGTAGTGATTGCATGACAGATACATGATACCGATTCTTGTGAAATCTGTTGAATATTTGACAAGGATTGTTTTAAATTACAATAAACTACATATTAGATCGGAAATGCACGTAGTATCCTTGTATTCAATTCAAATATATATATATATTTATATAATATATATATAGTATATATATATATAGTATAATTCATTACACGTGAAATTAAATATTGAGCCTCAACCCACGCCAGGAAGAGATATTCCATGCGCCCTGTGTGCCCTTTATCCCAGGCACAGGAAAAAAATGGGAAAATCTAATTCAAAAATGTAGCACACGGCCCACTTCAAGAAAAGTCAATGGCGGATTACTCCGAGTTAGTCTGGGAGAATCGGCGAGAATGTGAATGTCTCATCATGTTTTGCTGCCAAGGTGTTCTCAGAGCACTCTTGTTTGTGCACAGTGACTCTATTGCATGAGTGCAATGACTCATTAATTATGACGTATTCAGGTCTCATGTGTTAGACGGCTTGGCTGATATTTTCAGACCAGTTTCTCGCGCCTGTGCCCCGTGCACCCTCATGTGTGCAGTCCTTGCCATTTACATCAATTCCACTCTGATGGCCGACATTGAGTGGAAAGATCACTTCGTTACTTGGACCTAACAAGCAGCGTTTCGTGATGATTCGTGTGATAGGATGATCAAAGGCAAACATTAATAGGATATTGGGTACGTTCTTGAACAATTCTCCACTGCTGAATGAAAATGAATACTGATTGCCCCTAAAATACTCTTATCATCAACTTATCATCCTTTATCGTCACATTGGTGCTTATCCTTCATGTTGCCAGCCAAGCAGCAAAATCGAATCAGGTCTTGTTCATGATGCTGGGAGGGTGGCTGCTGCTGTACCTCCTTTACCCGTGCCTCGCGCGGAAAAAGAGTTTGGAGGCACTCTGCAAAGTCTTGACCATGCAATGATATAAGGTCCAGTGGCTTTTTCTTGCTTAGCAGAGCTGAAAGTTCCTGAAAGCAACAAATGTCGTCGTGGTGTTCTCTTGGTTCATTTATTGGCATGGATTCGCACTGACGCGAGTGATCGTGCCATATCGTTCCATATCGTCCCTGGTTGGATCTGTTGTCCCGCAGGTTTAATCATGGAGAGCTTGGTGGGCAAGGCCTCCGCACACAAGTACCCCGACAGGCCCTGCAGGCCCTCCGATGCCAAGAATGCAGAATAAAAGAAAGAGAGAGAGAGAGAGAGATGAATAGAATATCCTTTCATATCTTCTAATAATCTAATACTAGTACCTGCTAGGTGCTTCAGGAGATATGCGTCATGCACCTAGGAGGTGTATTTCACGCCTTCACGCAATTTGACAGCCATGCCGTGCTTTCTGGTTTCCGTCGATTCGGATTTTGAGTTTTCTTGGTCCTTTTGATCACTGCAAATAGAGGAAATAGAATGAAATAGATATGAATTCATCCAACATAGTCTAACCAGTATGTTTTCCTTGTGTTTCCTCATTCCGAGCATGGCAACATATGGCAACCTTCATCGCAGGCTCAGCTTCATGTGGCAGGTTATAGAGTTGCAAATTGTAAAGTTGTAAAGGCGTTTGTGTACTGATGGAGCAGTGGAGCTGCCACGCTTGGAAACTCCAGGGGGGCACCACAGAGAAGATCAGAATAGATCACTGCAGATCCTTGCAGTAAACAATTGGTTGGAGATGTTCAAACATGTTCAAACCATGGTTGAGTTCTATGATTCTATGATTTCTAATGATTTCTATATTTTCCCCATGATCTTTGGATGTCTTTGGCATGGTGGCCCCTTTGGAGACTTCAAAGATGTCTTCCACAAGATGTCTAGGGGAAGCCAGTCGGTTTCACACCAACAGACTTTATTCCATGCAGCGGGATGCAGAAGTTGAGTGTAGACCACATGAAAAAGTTAACAACTATCTTAAACGTCCGGAAAAAACACAGACCACGTGTGTACGACATGAAAACTAGAGGAGGTCTATTTTCAAAACGTTTTGGGATGACATCGTTGACTGCGGTTTTTGTTTCGCTTTTTTGGTTAGTCCTGTGGCTCCCACAGCTGGCTTCCACACACCTGATCTCCTGTGACGTCCCATAAAATGGTCATCATGGTAACAACCAAGTCTAGGCATCCTGCTGCATTGCTTTCTAACAAGGAAAGCTTATATCGTGTACCGTGTACTTTTTTTTGTTCAGCTGGATTCCTGTGCTTGCCACTCCGCACTAAATCAAGTCCTCTTCAGGCCTGCAATGTTTGGACGGGGATGGCAACAAACAGGTCAGTTTCAGCATGTTGACTTGGAAGCCAATTCAAGATTGCAATTGAGGCACAAGTTTGCATGTGTGTACGGATGTATGCATGTACTCGTAGCACCAATCCCACGCATACTCATATACAGTGGTACAGCCAGACATAGCCACTTTATCGTAGTTTCGTACTTACTTCACCAATATTTTTGCAATGTTGGTGCGTCAGCTAGGGGGTCTTGAGGGGATGGCAAATCATTAACAACTCCTGAACTTCACGAATTCGGTGGTTTTGGGCCTTGACAGGCACCAAATTGATGACAGCCGGACACATTGCTGCATGGTTAAATTAAAACATGTTAAAACTGGTCATCTTATGCAGTGTGCTTGAATCATGTCGTACATGTATCCGGCATTACCCGGCTTGCTAGTGAAGTGTATTTGGTTTCACTGTGTCAATTGTTGCGCCGCTGTGGCGTGTGACGAATTTCTTTGGTAAGATGGTTGTTGTATGGACAGCATTTGCCACTTGTGTGGGAGGTTGTGCTGTCGTCGCTGATGGTCTGCAGTAGCACATTTGTTCCCCCGTCAGGTTGGTGAGGAAGGCGTTTCCTGACGGCTTGTGCATGCTGGCCGTGGCATCCACTGTGCTAGGTGGATGGCTTGTTGCATTGTGCATTTGTATCTCTTTGGTTGGGGGATGAAGTCATATGGGCTCTCTTGTCATGGCCTTAGCGCAAGGACAGTATTCTCATGGATATGAAAATCCCAGTCGGTCATGGTCATGCAGTACTGAGGTGGGGCCCCGACATTCAGTTGGGTAAGGAACAAGAAGCACAAAGTAGTTCCTGCAGCAGCAGCAGTGACTATTTTCCCACATCTTCCCACTATACGACAACTACTAAAGTAACCACTTGCGGGAGGAGCGCAAATTACCGGCACTGCTTCTGATGACAACAATCTCACACAAGCACATGTGCAGGCACTGCTCCAATGGCAGCCTCAATCAAACTGGCAAAGCAACAAAAGCAAACGACAGAAGTAGTCCGAAAACCAGGCAGATCAAGCAGGTACCGCCAGACACAAACCCAGCCTGAAAGAACAGCGCTTGGCGCCTGGCAATCTTCAACCCAAACGCCCACAATCTTGATCACGAAGTTGCAGGTGCCACCAGCACAGTTTTGCAACCTTACATGGGTATTGACTGACTAAGACAGCTACGACACGGCAAGTTGTGCAGACTCACATGGCCACGATGAGCCTCAACATCAGCAAGCTCAGACTTATCGATATATCCACCGCGGCAGATGGACAAAGCCAACCCAGCAACCAATTTCAACTTTGGCCTACTGCCTTGCAGCCTTGCTGGGTGCATCTGGGTGCGCAGGGTGCACAGGGTGCGCAATCGATTCTGCGCCTGGTGAAAAGTGAGCCAAACATGTTGGTTTTGTGGCAGCTTCCAAAACGATGGCAGGTGTGGGACATTTGAAGAGGATCTGGCAAGATGTCTTTCGTGTGGCAGGCGCAGTACAAGAGACATGTTCATCAGAGCTGTTGGGAGGTCAGGGCGGTGATTTCCTCAGAGGGGTTGCATTTTGAAGCATCAGATCTTCAGGTTTGATAAGAGGCTTTTGCGTGACAGGTGCAACACTTCGTATGACCAGGCCTCATGTTTTCGTGGCAGACGCAGTACTGAGATGGGACGGAAAAATCCCAAAACGCATTGGTACGGGGCTGTCAGCTCAGCACTCAGCTTGTCATTTTTGAAGGAAGTCTCGCAGAATTGCTTCGCTTTCTGTATTTGCATCCCATGTAAAACATAGCTGTAGCGTATATATGCTGACAAGCATTGCGGCTCAGAACAAAAAGCGCTGGGTTGCTAGCTTAACGGTTGTTTGTCCCCTTTTGTTAGGTTTTATCAGTCCATTTGGGTATAACTAGGTTAACCCTTGCTGAAACCTGAAAATACAGGTTATCAGCCGTAGCCTCTAAAGCCATGGACAAAACTCATGACGCGACAGGTGGCGGTGCTCTCGTGCCTGCTTCAGGATCTTTGGCGACTGCTTCAACTGGGTCTCAGCCTGTGACGGCTGGGGCAACTCCCACGCCCATGTCGGTGGATGAAGGTTTCTTCACAAAGCCCGTCCAGGCGTATTTTCAGTTTGTGCAGAACAATCTTACCTACATTAATGAGGGTAACATTGACGCTTTCAGACAAGAGGCAGAGGAGAGGCACACACATCTCATGGAACAAAAGGTCCAGCAACTGTACCAAGAGTTTGAGGGAATTTGCCTTAGCGAAATCGCCCAGCAACGTGCAGAAGCTGATCGTAGACATGAACATCTAGTGTCAGAGTATGCAGTGTCCCAAACGGCAACTGAGCATGAGGTCACAAAACTGAGACAGGAACTTAGCGACGCAAACGCAAAGTTGAAGAACGCTGCAAATGCAGTTGCGCTGGAAGCTGAGCAGAGAGCAAACCAAAAGGTAGCCCATGTTACAGCCCAGTATGAACAAAGGTTTTCTGAATCATATGTAGCCTCGAGGCGGACTGCAAACGAATCGTGGACGAAACAGTGGAGTATGCAAAGAATGGCATGGAAGGTTTCAAGAAGGAGGAACAAGCTGTAATCCAGGAGATTAGAGAGGAATGCAGTAGGCAGGAAAACCAAGCTGCTGAACTCAACTATCAACTACAGGGACAAGTAGAGGATTTGTTGGAGAAGCTCAACAAGTATAGCGCCCCCGAAATCAAGGTTGACAGAGCCGTTGAAGTCGATGATGGACAAGGCGGGAACAATGTTGACTTGTACATGACCCCAAAATCAGCGGTCGGTACGAAGGCTGGAGCAGAACCCATGCCAAACACTGGTATGGGCGGCTTAGCTATGGACGCAAAAGAAAGATTGAGCAACTTATTCTCAACAACCCCTGCCGGATCAGCAGCACCTCCAAAATTGCCACCATTGCCTGTTCGAAGACAACAAGATGATGATCCAAATCAAGAACCAAGTGTGCCCAGTCCTACAGCATTAGCAAGTGACACTGGCAAGAAAGCAGCTGATGCAGGCTTAGGTCTTTCAGGACAACAGTTGTTAGATCTCATCACTAGACTGACTTCAAAGGATTCAGATGGTGAAAAGCCCCGAACCAAAGAGGCCGAGACTATCAAACTGAACGACATGCCTGCCCCAGAAGCATACCGTCACTGGCGCAACCACGTCAGGGACGAAGTCAAGTCATGTTCTGACAAACCCGATGAGGCTTGGATATGGCTCAATGAAGTCTTCGACAACAAGACCCCTAGGGATCAGTTAGAAGAAAAGCTGCAGGAACCCGGGAAATTCATCACACTTGACACCAAATTGTCGGCAGCGTTAACTCGCTCGGCCAAAGGTGATTTAGCAACAAAGATCCACAACTTCAAAGATGAAAAGTCAAAGAAAGGGATCCAAGTCAGAGGTAGGAGAGTCCTTTTGATACTTTTGATGTTTGAAGATTACTTCAGGACGTCTGAGGAAGCCGGGAGCCTCTATCGTGTGGAGGACCTACTTGGAGTCGTTCGCACTGGGGAATCTGTGGAGGACCTTAGAAGGTTTTTAAACCGATGGGATGCCACAATTGCCGGTATGGAAACCCCGCCAGATGACTTGGTTCTCAGAGACATTTTACTCCGACAAATCCGAAAATGCCAATTGATGAAGTACGACATTGAAGCATTTGACAGGGCCCCTGAAAAGTCCGAACAAAAGTCTTATGCATTCTTGTTGAGAAACATTCGTGATCTTCTGGATAGAGAGAGACTCCGCTCAAACAGAAACAGAATCGTTGAGAAGAACAAGCAGACTGAAAAGCCTCAGCCCGCTGCACCCGCTCAGGGGGGCAAAGATCGTGGCAAAGGAAAAGGCGATCGAGGTCGATCCCGCGGTCGAAGCCAGAGTGGAAAGGGGGATAGAATATGCTACAAGTTCAGGGATGGCAAGTGCGAAAAGGGCAAAGACTGTCCCTACAAGCATGTCAAGGATTCCTCAAGATCTGGTACCCCCAAAAAGAAGGGTAAGGGCAAAGGTGGTAGCAGAAGTGGCTCCCCTAACAGAAAGTCAAGGGAAGAGATGGCCAAAATCCCATGCACTTACTTCCAACAGGGCAAATGTCGTCGTGGTGACAAATGTTTTTACAAACATGAAGTTGCAGCTGCACCCACAAAGGATCCAAAGCGTACCAATAGCCCTGCACCAAAGAAGAAGGCCAGTGCAAAAGCTGCGCCATGCATCACTCAAAGGTATGCATGCATAGCAAAGGGAAAAGGGTTGCCAAAGGCTACAAAGGCCATGAAAGAACAATGCCATAGAGCTGTTGTATTTTCATCGAAAGTGGAATACATCAAAGT